TGTGCCCGCGCGGTCCCCAGGGCCAGCCGCGCCGGGAGTCGGGCGCTGACGGTTCCAGATGCTGCTGCCGGTTTCGGGGGGAAGTCGGGAGGTATCAAGTAGCACGGATTTCCCCCCCTCCCCCTAATGAGAGTATTTATCTAATCCCAAATTGCAAGCGAATTTTCTTAATGCTCAGCCCATAAAACCCCGGGATTAGGAGGAGAAAGAGAGCGAGGGGAGAGGGGAGAGGGAGGAGAGTGGAATGGGGGAGAGAGAGAGAGATGAAAGTTTCCAGTGCGCGGTGCAGAGGAAGGACTGAGGCGGCCGTGGTCCAGGCGGCAAATGTCCAGGTGGACGAAGCTGGGCCAGAAGCTGCGGCCATGCCAGCCAGCCAGGGCCGCACTAGGAACCGAGGAGCGGGCAAGAGGGGGAAGCGCCGGGGGAGGGGAAGCTGACCCAACTCTAGGCCCCTGGGCCAGGGAGGGGCAAGGAAGCTGGGGCCCCTGGGCTCCGACCCGCGCCCAGGTGACCTCGAGATCCAGCCAGGCTCTAGACTCAGGGGACGGGCTTGCCTCCGGGACCGAAGACGCCTGGCCGGGGGCGAACGTCCCGCACTGGTCCTCGGGCTGTGCCCAGGCCTGCCCGCCGCAAAGGTCCTCTTCCATGGCGCCCCCCCTGGCCCTTGCTTCCCGCAGCCCAGGCTTTCTGGGTCTTAGCCCGGCGGCACCCTGGGCCCAACGCGACGAAGTCCCGAGCCCGCCCGCCGAGTGCCCTCGCCAGGGGCCTGACCCCACAGACCCGGGGGCCTGTGCTCCGCAGCCGCTGCGGGGCGTGCGGGCGCCACTGGGCGGCCCCAAAGGAAACCCCACAAGACTCGGGACCGGTCTGGAGGGGCCCGGAGCGGGTACGCCCGCCAGCCCAGACACCCTAGCTAATCTGTGGCGAGGCCAGGATTGGCAAGTCGGGTACGTCTAGCGGGGTCGCCCCTTGACGAAGCCCGTCCGGATGGAACATCACCCGAATCCGTGTAGCACACTGGGTGGGTGACGCTAGTAGCCCAAGCCCCAGCAACTTGGATTGGGCGATCCGCCAGGCCCTTCCCTGGGGTTAGACTGAGTTTCTGAGCTTTCCCCAGAGCACCGCAAAGCTAATTCCTGATTTCACTTAGTTCCGGTAACTTTTCAAAAACTTTGCTTAAAATCATTTGCTTGCGGTAATTTTACTGTAGCAAGTTTTAATCAGCATTTTGAGATACTTGCAATTGAGAGTCAACTGTATGTTTCCAAAGCTACTTAGTGAGTTGTATATGTGTAATATATATAACACTGCATTTGTCATTTTTGTTTTAAGCTAAAGGCTAGTGGATGCTTTTCTTTAAATCTTTAGACTTGTTGAATGAGCTTTGTTTGGGATCTCAATATGGAGGACTCCCCCCACCTCACCCCTCTGTAGCCTGGAATTTCTTGTGTAAAATTCCCTAACACAAACACACACACACACACACACACACACACACACACACACACACTTCCATGCTGGTTCCCACAAGAAATCTCTCCTATAGTCTTCAGCTCCCACAGACTCGATGACTTATCCTGAGACCTGAGTGCAATTCTATAAATAATCAAAAGAATAACAAATACATGTTAAAAAATAACCTAGATATTAGCATTTTTCAGTGCTGTGGAATTACACATCCCCTTCCCAATCTTTAATAAAAGAGATGACCCTTTTCTGGATGATAGTTTAAACTGTTTAGGAAAATATGACTAACTGCTGCTCACTTCCAATCTGTGGGTCAGCAGGGCCCCCTTGGGAATGGTGTCAACTTATTCAGCTCCAAATACAACAGGAGGACCATTTTCCACATGAAAACCCTTTAAGGACACACAAACTTCCCTTCATTCAAAGTGTCAAGTTTTCATTTGAAGAAGGTAACAGCAGTGTTTAAGGTAAGAAAGTTTCTGATTTTATTGAAAATTTACATGACTCAGTAATAAATAAACAGATAACCATTTTCACACACACACACACAAAAAGACAGTGCTGTGATAGAGAAGAAATATTAACTGGGGGATTTACTCCTAGTGGCATGACAGACTTCTAACAATACAGAATAAATATTACAGCATTCTTGAGCCAATGTTGAGACCTAATAAAATGTAGGAACCAAGCTCTATGTAATAAATAATTATCCAGAGAAGAGATGGCGCATCCTGGGATGATAAGACTGTCTTTGTAAACTGATGCATGTCCATTAGTCCCACCCTCACAGCCCACCTTCAAATCCCAGCTACGTTATAGGACTAGCCTCTGAGGCAAGCAGAGGGGAACTCTATTTATCCTTACACAGTGAAATGCCAAATAACTGCAGAAAACCCCACTGGTAAATAGAACACAGTTTAATAAGTAGGTTATGATCTAACGATAAAATTTAGGTAGCAGAGTAAGTGTTACATATGGCAGGACTGGAAAAAAAATCATTCATGACATTTTTCTTATCCCCCTTTACCCCCCTCCCACCATCATTATGCTATTAATGACAAAAATGCTTTCAAATTTCCCTCCCATAAAAAAATGAAGGAAAATAATGAGGGGAATGGTGGGTTGTGTTTTCCTTTGGGGAAACAGTTTCTGAACATTCACCCCCGGCGCCCCTCACTCACAAGGTGTCTGTGCAAATCAATTTCACATGATTCCAAGGAAACAGACGCTAACTCACAAATCCTGAAACCAAGCTGTTGTGGAGTTGTGTATCTGATCTAGAATGGCAGGGGAGGGGAGGAGGTGGTGGGAAACAAGTGCGATCCCTCAAAACCGATCCCTCAAAACCGAAGTTGTAACTCAACACTGAGTTTGACTTTGTCTGGTCTGGGGACCCCAGAGCTCCAAGGCTGGGAGAGTTCTGGTCCGGCCCTACTGAAGAACGCATTTCTCTTCTTTCTTGGCCATCTTGCCTTTGTTTTGCTCCAGAGTTCGCTCCAAATGCTCGTCTTCCTCTTCGGCCCTGGAAGTCAGACAGATGGGAAACGAAAATGAGTTTTTCTCCGTGGAGGGCAGGGCAGCTTCACCTTCAGTCCCAGTGGTAATGGGGAGATCAGAGACAGCGAGAGGCTGACGCTGCCCGCCCAAGACCTCTGGACTGAACTTTCCCCAAACTTCGCCACCCCGGATCCCCCAGCCCACTCACTGCTTCTCCTGGGCGTCCAGGTCCCTGACGAGCGCATCCCGCTTGTTCACCAGGGTCACCAGCTCATCCAGCAGGAGCTGCTCGCGGCGCTTCTGGGCCTCGGTCTTCTGCCAGTCTGCAGGGGTGGGAGGCTCGCTCGTTACCCACAGCAGGGTCCCCGCACACCCGGTCCCCGCCCCCGCTTCCCGCCTTTTCCAGTCTCCCTGCAAACCACCGTGTGAAGCCACTATGGTGTGTTCTGGGGACTTTGGCCGTGGTGGTGAGGGCGACACCCCTAAAAGACCCCGACTTTCTGTAAAGATGTCCTGCAGATGGACCCGGCTGCGGGCGGGCTGGACCCTGCGGGCCAGGCCAGGTGTGAGCCGGTGGCCCGAGGTGCGCAGCGGAACC